GGAAAATGCAACTGGGAATGAAAACGTGAATGTCATTCATTCGAGCTGAATTAAAAGATAAAACGTAATAGCTCTGCAGGATTATTCGGATGGAGCGAGGTCAAAGTTCACAGCGCAGTGGTGAGTGGGCCAGTCTGACCTCGTCAGCGTCGGTTCCGGCGCCAGTGCACGCCAGACAGATACTGGAAAAGCATAGAAGGAGCAGCTGCAAAGCTGAACGGGTAAAAGTTACGGATGCCGAAATGTCGGATATTTTTCGAGCTTATCATGGGCGTCTCAATATGGTACACCAGGACAACAAGCAAGGTTACTTTTGCTGATTCGGCCAATACCACAAAAGTTGAGGAAGAAATTCCGGCGCGAGTTTTTGATTTTTTTTTTTTGAGGAACCTCATTTACATGGGCTTTACTTCTGTTATTCAAGCGCCGAAGTCTGACAAGCGCTTCCCGGAAAAAGAGGTGCCTGGCACCTAGCTAATCCGGTGCTACGGTGTAATCAGTATTCTCGGCTGCCCAAAAAACGGTTATTATTTGCAGCCCCTGTTACTCATACATAGATTGGTGAGCTAAGTGGAATGACATTATGCAAATATATTTCAGTAGCTCGCCAGTCGTGTTGTTCATTGTTCCTTCTCTAAGTCCGTGAATGCTGCAGGCAGCAATGCTAAAACTCTCGTTCTGCTTCTAAGCTGTACAGGAACTTCAAATTTTCACACTTTTTGTTGTTATTAGCGGTGTTTCTGCTTGTTGGACACTACTTATATCGAAAAGTTGCGCTATCGTTAATGACGTGCGTGAAATACGAGGCCTTTTATTCTGAATCCAAGGATGACGAAGGAAAGGAGGGAGAAAAGTAGGGTCAGCTCTAAACTGAGTAGGAAGATGGATATGGAGATGCGCAGTTCTGGCAGCAGGAAGCCAGTTTAATGGCAGGGCGCCAAATCGGATGCGCCCACTGCTCATCAGAACACCGAAAGTAGCCCGGGAGCAGAAAACGAGTTGTGAAATGAATAAAAAATTTGATAAATGTCGGAAATAGTTTGTAATTGTTCAGGATGGTGTATTATCAGTGGAACATGGCGGCAGGTGTGAGAAAGCTGCTCAGCGAGCATCGAGGATGCTGCCCATCCGACGATTTTATTATTAATGGACAGGCGACCGGTGAAATACTGAAACCAGTACCACCACGCTACCGCTGTTGCAACAGAGCAGCATCACAGGCACCGGCACTTACCGCATTTTCTCCATTCGTTTCGGTTTCCCCTAACACTTGCGACTCAAACATAGTGCTTCATTCTTCCCTACGGTTCACGAGCTCATTTCAAGCGACGCTCGATAAGTGATGCTCTGAGCCAAACACTAAGAAACTTTGTATCGGCTAATACAAATGAAATTTTCGCAAGTAGTATGAACCAGTAAGGAATGGAACTCGAAATCTTTACAAATTT